TTATTATTATTATTATTATTATTATTATTATTATTATTCAGCAGAATACATTCTTATTTACAAGTGATTTATGTTACACAGAAAGATTGTTGTCTGAGGCATTTCTAGATACCTCGCTTATTCATTTATATTTCACTGTTTATTCTCCCTTGCCTTCTTTTCTCAGTTTGATATATCATGTTCAATTTAAAATATTTAAATGTTTTATGGAAGAAAATAGCAGGGCTTTGAGTAATGGGATGTTTGCGGTTTCGTTCACCAGTTTGGCATTGAAGACTTGAAAGCTCAGCCTAACGAAACGGCTTGCTGGGATGGAGTCAGGAATTATCAGGTAAAACGGTGGTGGAATATATGTGTGTGTGTGTGTGTGTGTGTTGCATTTGTGCTGATAAATAAATAAAGGGAGACTAGTATAGATCTATTTCAAGCTATTTAGCCCACATCAGCTAGCCATACCCGTACTGGGAATCGAACCTGAGCTTATTTATCAGCACAATTGCAACCCAAATGTAACAAAGGCAATAGTAAAAATAATGGCTTTCTGTCTGGATGGTCTCTTGTGTTGAGCTGATAGAATGTTGTAGGGTCTCCTGCTTGGACAGAGAGGGGTTAGGCTAGATGACCTACAAGGTCCCTTCCACCTCTGTTAATATGATTTTTTTTTACTTCTAAAACTGGAGCAATATAGATTGCCGTGGGGCTTGTATAAAAGTGTGCGAGCTGCGGCTTGTTTCCTGCACATAACAAAAGCTGGAAACCCCTCTTCTGCCTTGGCAGGCACGGAATTTCCTGCGGGAGATGAAAGTTGGTGAAGAAGCTTTTTTCTACCACAGCAATTGCAAGGAACCTGGGATTGCAGGTATCATCAAGGTGAGTGCAGAGTTGGAAAGGCGTGCACAATTCTGGGAAAGCACCACAACACCAACAGGCTGAACATTGGCTTCATGTGCGAAAGGCAAGATTGAATGTTGGCCTTTATGATGACTATGATCATGATTTATCATTTATATCTTTTATGTACCTGAGAGCTTATGGACCAAATTCCTTGTGTGTCCAATCACACTTGGCCAATGAAGAATTCTCTTCTCTACTCTTTTCTACTCCTCTACTCTCCTCTACTCCTACTCTATTCCAACTCTAATTTTATTCCATTCCTACTCTACTCTATTCCTACTCTACATTCTATTCCTACTCTATTCTTACTCTATTCCTACTCTATTCTGTTCCTACTCTATATATTCTATTCTATACCTACTCTACATTCTATTCCTACTTTATTCTTTATTCCTACTCTACTCTATTCCTACTCTACTCTATTCCTACTCTATATTCGATTTTATTCCTACTCTACGGTCTATTCCTACTCTATTCCTACTCTACTCTATTCCTACTCTATTCCTACTCTACTCTACTCTATATATTCTATTCTATTCCTACTCTACATCCTATTCCTACTTTATTCTTACTCTATTCCTACTCTACTCTATTCCTACTCTATTCTAATCCTACTCTACTCTATTCCTACTCTATATTCTATTTTATTCCTACTCTACGGTCTATTCCTACTCTATTCCTACTCTACTCTATTCCTACTCTATTCCTACTCTACATTCTATTCCTACTTTATTCTTACTCTATTCCTACTCTATTCCTACTCTATTCTAATCCTACTCTACTCTATTCCTACTCTATATTCTATTTTATTCCTACTCTACGGTCTATTCCTACTCTATTCCTACTCTACTCTATATATTCTATTCTATTCCTACTCTACATTCTATTCCTACTTTATTCTTACTCTATTCCTACTCTATTCCTACTCTATTCTAATCCTACTCTACTCTATTCCTACTCTATATTCTATTTTATTCCTACTCTACGATCTATTCCTACTCTACTCTATTCCTACTCTACTCTATTCCTACTCCATTCCTAATCTATTCTATTCCTACTCTACTCTATATTCTATTCTATTCCTACTCTACATTCTATTCCTACTTTATTCTTACTCTATT